TGGCTAGTTGAAACCTGACTATAATTAGACTGGTTTTTTGCTTTGTACCATAAAAGCAAACATTCTATGCATGATATACCTATTTTATAGCTCAGTTTTAAATTAAGTATTTAACAAAATAAGTTTTAAGAGTTTGGCAGTTTGGATCCTATCTCATCTTTTACTAAAACTATATGAAATGTAAACTCTTATATTAACCCGCTTACAAAGAATTTTTCAAATAGCTAGTTTTACCTCCCACTTCTAGAGATAACTTAAAATATGCTCATTAATATGGAACTTGAAGATTTTAGAAATTGTCAACAGTATATGATTTAGATTATCTGTGCCCGACTTCAGATTGGACAACTAGGTGCGATAGAATAAATGCTGAATTATATTGATAAGAAAAGTTTGGAAGATGCTTCTATTATTTTGTAAACAGGTTTTAATTCAAGAAATTGTCCTTTAAGGTTTACTTCAAATTTAATTTTCAACTAAAATGTCTAGAAAATGAAAAATAGTCTTCTTGAGCAAATTAAAAAATTTTAAAACAAAATTCAAATTTATAAAAATGTAACTATCGAAAAAACTGAATATCCTTGTGTCAGCACAGAAAACAAATATTTCTGAAAGAAGAAATTAGAAGAACAAGAGCTTGTACCATAAAAGCAAAAGATTCTGTGTATTTTTATATTTTTATTCCATACGCACTAAAATCACGTGAACCGTAACATATATTTTTTAATATATAAAGATAATGAAAATATAAAAAAACTACCCCGTATTTCAGGACCAGAATGTATCAAAATCAACCAGTATGCAGAGGGTTAAATTATAAGGAATATAAATCAAATTTTTAATATATTTCCCTTATGTTTGCAAAAGCAAAATTTTACCTATAATTTGCTATTTTTTACTTTACTTTTATTTCAATTGTATTTTATAAAACTAAAAAAGTGGGTTTGATAACAAAATTTTATAACTGATTGATTAATTAAAAGAATTCAGTGCTTTAAAATACAAAACTTCTTCTACTAAATGCATACTTAATAAAATTTTTGTATTTTATGAACTGAAATTATATTGCTCAACGATAAGTGAATTAAATTAGTTTTATTATGCAATTAGTTGTTATTATTGCATAATAAAAATAAAATTTTAAATAAATAGCATATTACTAATGCTACCTGAAAACATTGCATGCTGAAAAACTTGTAACAGTAAATATTCCAGACTGTGTAACTTTTTCAATATTGCTGTCAGTTCCTTAACACTCCAGAGTAAATGTCAAAATATAAATATTAGAATGAAGCCTGACATGTAAGTGCAGGTAAAAGTAAAAAACTGGACTATATTTTTATGACTTTGCTTAAGCTTTTCACTCATTGCAGTTAATGTGCCAAAAGAAACACAAGAATGAAGACATAACATTACAGGTGAACGTGAAAGAATGCAATTTTTTTTCCCACTGAAGAACATATAAATTATGTCAGAAAATGTTATATCATATCATAAATGGAACATCCACAGATGTCTTAGCCAAATTTGTTAAGATTCAAGAATATGTGTAAAGAAGTACATGGATATCAGCTAAAAACGTTTTCAGTGCTGATGAAACTAGCCTTTTCTTTCATCTTCTGCCTTCAAAATGCCTGGCTTCTAAAGAACTTAAGAAACATAGTCAAAATCACTTCGCTAATTTATACTGAGCAAATATTAACAAAATAGAAGACGATACCTCTGCTTATACTATTTGATTCTTGCGATTTAAAAAATGAAGTATTTAAAATTATTCTGAAAGATACATAATATTTTAACAAGCTTAAAGTAAGATGATAAAATGTAATGATATGTAAAGAAATGACACTGTAATAAAACTGTGTTAAACAATGGAAAATTGTGTAAATAGATGCATCTCCGCCTACATAAAGAGTCAATGATACACCTTTCTCATTAATATATCCTTTCTAAATGGTCCACAAAAACATGTATTAACAAGCCTTACTCTTTTAATACATGTAGTTTTCAAATGCATCATTGTTTATGCTGGGTCACAATGCATTCTTTACAGAAAAATGCATTTCAAATAAATAAAATCATATTATAAAAACCTTACATTAATAACTATACTAAAATACACAGTCTAAAAACATAAATAGAAATTTTTTAAATAATTATTTGAAGAAATATTCAACAACTCAAACAATTAAAATGAAATTCTTAAAAGGAAAAAAAAATAACTAACAACTGTAATTAAAAAATCTAATGCAAAACAAAAATATTTCCAAGAAAGAGGAACTGAGATGTTTTTTCCGCACATTCAGAATGAGAGGGAAAGCAAAATATTATTGCCATAAACTGAAAAGTCAACCCAGTGAATTATTTTTTGCACAAAGTAAAAAAGGTGCAGCAAAATAAATTCTCAAATTTCTCCCCAAAATTCACAAATTTTGGTATTTTGGCAAGTTGTAGAATGAAAATATGGGGAAAACATTTGCATGTCATTTCAGAAAAAGTGCAATTTTATGTCAAAATAGGTATGTTAGAATAATGCTGTATACAGCACAAAGTCCGAGAAATGGAATCACAGGGACTTTGTTAATTCTGGATTTCATACATTTCCAAATTTTAGATCATCAGTTTAAATCTAGTATTATGACATGCAGACATGGCAATGTTATGCCTTCACTTATTATCTATATCAGAGAGAAGAATGTTAACTTCCCAAAACAGGACTGGTGTCAGAGCCAAACTGGCCACACTGAGCGGCAGAATTCAGGGACAGAAAAATTTTAGAATTCAAAGGGGCACCAAGCAGCAAAAATTAAGGATTACAAAATGTTTACCTGCAGAGATTACATAGATGGCAAATGCAAAGTTCCAAAAAGCAAAAATACAATCCTGGCCAACATCAGGTCCAGGATTGCATTTTAGAATGCGTCTTTAAGACAACCATCTTCCCAAAAGACCAAAAGTGTCTGTAATTTTTAAATACTGTGGTAAATGTGCCTAAAGAACAAGTCCAAAAGTTGAAAAATCAAAATAGAAAATCAAAAATATAATTAAATATAAACAGATGCTAAATGAAGTTTTCCTTGTTTATCAGACTTTCGAGACATTAAGAATATAATAATCTCCTTACACAGGAAAAAATATTTTAGCAGATTAAGTTAATGTTAGCAAATGAGGTAAAAAATATATATATCACTCTATCGTTACGATAGCAAATCACCTGTATCAAGGTGCAAAAATATTCTATTTATTAAGAAATCAATCAGAAATAATTATCCGAAAGAAATATCACATAATAAATTAACTTGTTAAAATAATAAAAAAAATTCCAAAAGATTCGCAACATGTTATTCAGTAAGCTAAACATTGCGAGTAGCACCACTGATTTTCCAACACATGATTTCCATATGCAATTTCATTAGCTATTGCCAAGTAAGTCTCTAGTGAGAATGTATCCCATCATGTACAATAATCACAACTCTAATGCACTGCCACAGACATGTATCTCATGCGCCAGAGACATGTTTAACTGTGTAGTCAGGGTGGCGCAGACTTGCAGGGATACTTGTTCGGAGATATGTCTCCTCATGCATATGGGGAAAACAACATTTAAAGATAAAAAGAGTTGAAAACCTGCTTTCCACGAAAGTCTCATCAACGCACTTTCTATTTTTGAAGATTTTTTTTTTTTCCTGACTCAACATAAAACTACCTAAACAGAATATAATATAAGAATTACTGCAAACAAAATATATACAAAAAAAATTAATTTTACTCTCTGGTTTAAAAAAAATAAATAAATAAAAATATCATGTAAAAATTTCATACTTTTAAATTTTGCAAGAGTAAAAAATCACATTTTTTAAATAAAATTAAAGAAAAATGCAAAGCAAATTTTATAGACAAAATTATTACCTAACTGAATATTTTGAAACAATTACGTAAAGAAAATTACTTCTTATTAAGAAAAGGAAAATTAGACAAATGAAATTAATTTCTAAATAATTATAATAGTTTTCTGTATTAAAATTTAACTGTGCTTTATAACACTTATTATCAAGTTTAAGAATCAGGATATTCAAAAGTTTCAAAAACAGAAATTACATATTTTAAAAGTTAAAATTAGGCAAAACGGCAACCTTACTTTGACAGGGATTTTCAATAAAACTCTACCGATTTCAATAACAATGAGATGTAAACTCCTACTCTTCAGTAGCAAAACAATTTTTAATAGTCCCTGCAGATGAGTGACCCATGTCTGATCAATCTCGAAATCAATAGTTTCATTCAAAATCTTCACCAAAATAAGGTTACTGTTTTGCCTGATTTTAAATTTTACACTGCCAAGGATTTATTCCAGTTTGGATTTAATAAGATTCAGAGTAAAATAAAAATGTTTTGTTTAAAAGTCATTTTTCTAAAAAAATGTATTTTAAATATATCATCATTAACAGTATTAACAGTATCATATATTTATATAGTTATTTAACAGTATCATAAGAATATTACATTTGTTAAATAAATCATCATGAAATTCACAAACAGAAACAAAATTTTTGTAGACAAATGGATCTTAAAATTGCTAAAATGTCAAGAAGTCTTTAAAAAAATAAAGATGGACAATAAAAGAATTCATACTCCAAAAATGGAAGCACTTGCTTTGATGCAATAAAAAGGCCAAATTCAAACAGCAAATTAAATGTTTGCCAAGAATATACATATTAAAATACAGATTTGATGACAAATTACCCAAGCTGGCACACTTTTTGGCATCTTTATAAAGAACTGCAAAATTTGAAGGGAAAAAAAAATTAATTTTATACATTTAATTGTAAGACCATAACAATTTTCACAGAAGTTCGCATGTTCCATATTGATCAGCTTTTGGTGAAATTTCAGATACTCACCCTGATAACGAATGTGTTAAATACAGGGGCTGCAATAACAGAGAAGTACCTAACATTTCATTAAATAATATAATCAAACTTAAAATTATAAATACTTACCTTTTTCTTAGACTTGAAAACATTACATTTGAATGAATTACTTCCTCCATCACGAGCTATATAGCTAAATATTTTCAGATCCTGTGAATCATGTGACACATAAAATATCCTGCAATGATTAAAGGGTTTTTTTATGAATGTATAATATATAAATTATAAAGCTGTAGTAATTAAGCAAGGTAATATTTTTAAGTACTTACAATCTATAATGCAAAGAATGGTTTTAGGCTTAGGCAATAAAAGATGTTTATATGCCAGAAGCAAAAAATATCCTATCGTTTATTTTTTCTCCCGCCAGTAATTTTCCCATTTTTTAGCATCATTTTAGCAAAAAAGGTTCTGAACTCTTTAAGTATTCTTATAATTTTCAGCTTCTGCAAAGCATTTAGAAAGCAAGCTTCCCTAAATTTTAAAATAAATCTGACTACATAGTGCTAGCTTTCATTTGCTCCTGAATTTTTGGGTACATAGGCTATGATTGATGACATGATAATAAGAAGAGTTTCAAGAAAATGGGGATATCTAGTGCCCTTGATGGCTCTCAAGATCATTACATCTAGCAAGACAGACTGAATGGTGATGAAGTTGATGACAATGTTGTCAATAGCGACAAGCTGCAAACCATAGCAGACAACATAGAGTTCCAACAACATTAAATAATTTATTCCTAATGAATAGCAGAGGTTTACTATAACATCACGTAAGATTAAAGATATAGGAAGCACAAACGAAGCTAACTCATTAGATATTAATGATGTTAATATTACTCTGTATTTTTATTTAAATATATGGTTTTTAAAAATAAATAATGTGATAGTTAATAGTAGTTTATCCACGAATACTTTTAATTTGTTATGTTCTTACTGTAACCGTGTCTTTAGAAAATTAAATTCAGATAATTTTCCCCTCTCGATTTTTCGAAATTTCCATAAAGTCATTCATCCTCTATGAGTTGATCCACAAATAGATTAAAGTGGTTCTGGACTCACCTGTGAGCATTAAGAGTTTGCAAAAAATCCTTTTTGTATGACGTGGAAATCAGAAACTGCACTCCAAACAGCAATCATAAGATTATGCAATGGCTGTTGAAAATACTGATGAAGATTTGTTGATACATAATGGTACATATTCTGTGAGTTCACATACATGGGCAGACTGAAGCATGCCTCCCACAAAGAACTGAAGAACAGACTATCTAATAACTCCCATTTCACTTCATTCAGAAACTACCATCAGAAATAAACATGCATAGGTTTTTCTGGAAACTTTAGCTCATATGCAACAGAGGATTTAGAAGGATGATTTTTTGATAATTTTCTGACATATCGATCTCTTAACCTTTTACATGCTAATGTTCCTTTTTTGAAGCATCACGTTTAATATTTTTTAAAAAATAAACTACAGTCAAAAGTCGTTAATTCGGACACCTATAATCCGGACCTCAAAGCTAAAAACTTTCTGCGTATGCACCGCGTTGACACATGCGCATAGGCGTTTACGCGTGAGCATAAGACCTTTACGACTGCACATATGCGTGTGCGCAAGTGCAGAAAACGTTTTCACGTGCGCGTTTAATGTAAAACGGACGGTATAAGCTAAAATTATCTAATTATCTATTTCAGTTAATGTTGATGATTGCGTTGTTCCTTATTAATCGAACTGGATCCGGCTTATTACTTTTTTCAGACTGTAAGAGCAGTTTTATAAAAGTAAACTTGAACTTTTCATTATGTCAAATAGAATTTCCGATGCTGGAGCTCCCAAAGGATCTACAAAACGAAAGTATGTTTCGATGTCCATCAAACAAAAAGTGGAATTGCTGTAAAAAATGGATAAAGACATGAAGAAGGTGACAGAGAGGTTAGTGAAAACGAAAAAATTTCGATTGACAAGTTAGTCGGTATTCTCGGCACAGCAATTAATGGACTTGAACAGCGGAACTTTGTAACTGAACAAGAAATTATGTCTGTTAATAGAATTAAAGAGAAAGTATTAACACATAAAACGAAGCAACTTAAACAACTTACATTGAAAGAAATGTTTAATAAAGTAAACAAATAAATATTAAGCTTTTTTTTTTTTTTTTTTTTTGTAAATTTTGATACCCTTTAGATCATAATTGTTCTTTACTTTATAAATTATGGTTTCATATTTTTAATTTTAGAATTTCTGCATGCCATCTTACGAGATTTAAACTGATGATCTATAATCCGGAAAAATCGATAATCCGGAATCGCTGAAGCCCCGACGAGTCCGGATTAACGACTTTTGACTTGAAGAAATTACCGTTTATTATAGAAAGCATGATTGACATTTTTACACAAAATTTATTTTTTAAATATAAATATTTCAGTGTAGAAAAATTTCCAAAAATCGACTTTTTTTAAGATTTTTACAGTACCTAAAGAAAAAAATTCTATAAAATTCCTAAAAATTCAAATCCACTCAAACGTGTTGCCATCATACTTGCAAAGGACAACTTTAATGAGTTAATAAAAGAAATTCAAATAATTACAAGAAATATTTCCTCAAGACTGCATAAAATTGCAATGTTCCAAAAAAGAAACACTGGCACGTAACGATATACAAAATCAGTGATATTACATGTATATTTTTATTAGATTTTAAATAAATTCAGTGCTCATATCTTATAAACATACCTTTTTTTTAGAGGCATTAATGGTGTGTCATTTATTTCTGTAGAAAGGGGGGGGCAGAGGACTGGAAGAGGGTATGACCTCTCTCACCAAGGGGTGTTGATAATTGGTTTCAGCAGTATTTCCCTGTTTTAAGCTCCGATATCTGCTTGTTTCTTCTGTTAGAAATAACCACATCTGCTTCATTGTTTATATTAGGTCTTTTGAAATGTTCGAAAAATGAAAAGTTGCTGCTTAGATCAAAAGTTATTTCTGAACAATTATCTTTTACTGACAATCCAGAGAAACATGAAGTATTTTTCGATAACTTTTTTTCATCGCACAGTCTGCTGACAGATTTGTCTAACAAAGGCTTTAAGGCAATTAGCACAGTGAAAGCAAAAGAGATGCGAACAGCAAAAGAGATGTCGAAATTTCAACATGGAGAATTTGATTACTGATCTGATGGAGAATTTTTTATGTGCCATTAGGACGACAATTCTGTTGTAACTATTGCATCAAATTTTATCACTCATGAACCATTAGGAAGAGCAAAAAGATGTGTCCCAGCTTAAAAAAAGAAGGTTGATGTTCTTTACAACATAAAATTATATAAAGAAGGAATGGGTGGAGAAGACCTGTTGGACCGACTTCTTGGAGTTATCGACCAAGAGTTCGCAGCAAAAAATGGTATTAGAACTTATTTATAAATGCACTGAATATGGTTGTGGATGCTGGGTGGATCTTATACACTGATTTACACAAAAACACCACATTAGAAATGATTCATGTCAATTTCAGAAGAGAAATTACTTTGAATTTGCTTCGAGTGAAACCTAAAATTCACATTATGTGTGAATTTTATGACCCCGTGCCCACCAGTCGACATCTGCAAGAAAATCAGACGCACATTATATAGTTACACCATCATAAGTGTGTTGTGTAGTGTGTCAAAAAAAAAAATCACTTCAAATATGTATTTTTGAATGAAAAAAAAAAAATGCTCCATGTACATTGCTTCCTGCGATAGTATGGACACTGAGAAAATGCAAAAAAAGGATTACAAAAAATTTGTGTTTTAGAATATTTCACATTTTTTGTGCTACTGGTTGAAATCCCATGAGCCTTCTAAAGGATAAAATATTTTATTTTTTATTGGTAAGGTATTTTACATTTTTAAATCGCATTTATTCATATTATGTATACTGTTAGTCAAGCTTGTGCAAGTGTAAAGTAGTTTTTATTGTTTCTTTACACTTTCTTTGCATTGCATTTCTTATAAAATAGTATGCTAATTAAAAATTATGTAAATTTTTTAAATGAGTTTTACTAAAATTTTAATAATTTCACATCAAATTGTTCAGTAAATCATTATTGCAGCATAAAATTTTAAAAGATCCATCCTACAACGCTTTGTTTTCATGAGGCGGAAAAAAAAAAAAAAAAAAAAAAAAGAGAAAAGGCTAGATGCCAATGTTCCAAAAAATGAAACATCCAGAAAATCATAGACTGAAATTTTTTACGGCAATTTTTTTGTTTTATAGTCTTTATGGGAGTATTCTAATGTGAATTTGATGACTTAGTTTCGACTTTTATTTCTAGATCACAGTGCGGCATGAAAAAGGTTAATTCCACATTCACAAATAACCAGCATTGAGATTTTGTCACACTTTTCTGAAGGCTATCATTCACTTGAGCATCGTTTCCCAGTGATCAAATTCTTTTCAGAAAATGTTTTCCAGGGATCAAATTCTTTTCTTTATGATTTTTACAGAGCCAGTTTTACGCCATTTTGCCACCAGGTTTTGTCTTGCATAATTTGCTGGTGGTTTTATCATGCTTCCAGCATATGTCTATTCTTAACTTCTTCCATAAACAATTCCGCACATACTTCTATGAATTATGCTTCACATAACATTCAACAATGAACATACTCTGATTTATTGTAAGCACATTTTGTGTTACTTTCTATTGATTACTAAACATATCTATCTTCACCTCTCACTCAAACAGCTGGTTGCTGTCATATGTCCGCACATGCTTCTCTCACACCCAATTGTGTCTGTTCTGATTTTAAAGATTTCTTTGCTGTTTAGAGTAAGTTTTTACAAATTTCTGAAAACACTTTTCTGAACCTTTTTTTTTTTTTTTTTTTTTTTGCCACCCTGTATATACAATAATTACCATATTACATAAAAAATTACTGCATATATAAATTTCACAACCAGCATTAATGATAATAGCCACATCTAACTGAGCGATTTCCTTTAGGCTAGCACCATCTAAACTGACCACTTTTATACCTAAAAATAAATAGATAGCAATGCATCACTACAGGTAACAATGTCCTTGGGCCACAGCTAATGGTACTGTTACTTCAAGAAAATTGTGTACAAAAGAAAAACTAAGATTTTCGTTCTCAGAATTACTACAAGGCAAAAAAAGAGTTAACTTTTCTTAGAATTTCTCTTAA